TAAACTGCTGTGTGGAGCCTTTTCCAATTAAATTCTACTTATCATCCATTTAATCTTACAGCATTTGTTAAAGCGCCAGAAACATAACCCAAAAGACTCAATCCTGATTTGTGCAAAAAAACAGGGAGGCTGATTATAAATGTTAATCAGACATTTTAAATTTGTTAAATTTTTTTTAGAAGCCATGCATCAATCGCCTTTTGTTTCCCAAAAACTTTGCAGTTGTAATCTATCAACATGTGAAAATGTTGAAGGGATCCATATGTAGAGTAATCATTGTATATGGAGATTATTAAAAAACATCAACAATATGTTTGTTTGGTCAGGTGACCAGCAATGGCTTTGTGTCTGTGATTTCAGCAGAGTCCAGACTGAAAGGCAGCAGGAACAGCATTAAGAGCAATGCAGCTTTAATGAAAGCTTCACAGCTTTTCTCATTTCTTAGAATAAAAAACAGTAAAACCAGTTATCCTAATGCTGGGTTCTCATGAGGAACAATAGGTGTTAAGAGTGGGAGGAACAAATGATGCACCTGCTTTGGGTGTAGAGATCTGACACGTTGCCAGGAGCATCATCATTATCATCATCATCCTCAGCAACATCTACCCGCAAAATGAACTTTTTTTTTTTTTATCGTTCACCCCATTTCCATGCCTTCCTCATATTTATGATATAACCCAATGAGCTGTTCTTTACTAATCAAACATTTCTTGGCGACTCAACCTTCCCCTGTGTGCCGCAGAAAACAGGGGAAGGGCTCTCCCTGTGGTGCCAGTTCATAAAGACGCTTGCGCAATAAAAGGCGCTATAAACCCTCTAAGAGCGCATTTGGATCGCTGAACGGATCATTTAAATTTCATATTCCTCACCTCTCGGAGCTTCCTGGTCGCTGGCGTCTAGTGCTGGTGATGAGGATGCTGCGTTTTTTTTTCCTCTAGAAAGACCAAGAGAAACTCCCACCCACTAAGAGACCGTCTGACAATTATTACCACCAGCAAAAACAGGCTGCTCAGGGAGCGTCTGCGAATTACTTTCCTTTTAATTTGATTTTGCAAGACATAAAGCAAATATTCATAAATCAAAAAATTAAATGGGAAGTAAAAAAGTGGGAAGTAAAAAAAATCGACCTATATGCTCAGGAATATATAGGCATATATATGTATGTATATTAAATTAAAATAAATTACTAACAGCAGGGACACCATTAATTTACAGGTTTTTTTTTGTTTTTCTTTTTACAGTTTGTTTATTGTAATAAAGCTTGACAGTATATTGCTGTAAATTGAAAACAAGTAACAGAAAAATAACTTTGAATTATTGTTAAGAGGCAAATATTCACGAATCTCAACAAAATTAATATTTTTAGAGATTATTAATGGGTATACAAGTTTAAAAACTGAAGTGGGAAGTAGAAAAAAATCAATCTATATGCTCAGGAATATATAGTAAAAGATTTAATTGTAAATAAGATTAATTGTTAAAGATTTGTGCTTACTATTACTTATTTATAGAAACACATCTAGTTTTCTACCTACAATCATAAAAGTCCTTTAGAAATGTTGTAGTGTCAGTCATGGCCCTACATGTCAACTGACTGCCTGGCAGGAGAACGTTAATTAAAGAACAAACCAAGAAAACCAAGTTAACTGGATCCACAGAGCAGGTGAAGAGATGTAGTTTTACACTTCACAACCCTGGCATTTATGGAAGAAAAGTTTCTGAAAGTGGAAAAAAGAGAAAGATTGTTGATAGAAGATTTTGAGAAATTTCATTTACAGTACCCTTTTTGCAGATGTTATGTAGTGGAGACAGTAGACATGTAGATGGAGGAGCTCTGTTCAGACACAATGAAGCTTGAACCTATAGATATTACAGCACTGCATATAACAATAAAAACACTGTGCTACATGGTTGTGGCAGAGGTCATATTGTGGGGATGCTTATCTCCAGCAAGTACGGGGGAGCTTTTAGCCGTTAACGGCAATATTAATAAAAGCCAAATCTTAAAAGAAAGCCTGTTGGAGCCTTAAATTGACAAAGACTCACTTTCCAAAAGAGCACCAGCCCTAAACATCTGCCAAGAGCTACATTGAAATGGATTAGATCAAAGCATATGCACATGTTTGGATGACCCAATTAAAAGTTCAGACATATACAGTGCCTAGCTGAGAAGCTCTGGTAAAACTGGAACATTCCTCCCATCTATCTGAATTAGCTCGAAACCTTTTGTAGATAAGAAAATGGCAAATAAAAAATAAATCCAATTCAGTTTATTTATATAGCACCAATTCACAACACAAGTCATCTCAAGGCACTTTACAGTTCAACCAGATCACGCAGTCAAATTCATCCAGAGTTTTTAATCTAAAGAAAACCAGTTGATTGCAGTGACTCATTGACTCAAATGCAATCCCTCACACTAAGCATGCTTGTAGCGACAGTGGAGACGAAAAACTCCCTTTTAACAAGAAGAAACCTCCAGCAGAACCAGGCTCAGTGTGAGCGGCCATCTGCTGAGGCTGACTGGGGTTTAAGGAGACAGAAGCAGAGATATAAAAAGCAGCTGAAACACACAGCCAGGCGGATGAGCTCCGAGCCAGCTCCCATGTCAGAGGATGAGGAGAGCACATCCAGCCAGTCACGTTCAGAGAAACAGGACTACACTGGAAAACGGGCCGGTCTCCAGCATGCATAAACAAGGGTGTTGATCTGCAAGCAGCACAGCTGATATTGCTCTCCAGGATGGTGAAATCCACATTTATTTTTGCTGTTGTGTTTAATCTATAAAAAAACAAACAAAAAAAAGCATCTCTCCAAGTTTAAGGTATATCAACAGTTTATAAGGTACTTTAAATTTAACACTTGAGCTGGAATGAATAAGTGCAGTCTACAAAATCTTCATTTAAAGCCAGACTCATTAGGTTTATTTAACAGTTCTGTGAGTAACATAGCTTTCCAGTCAACCAGTTAACCAATGAGCAAATGTGAATCAATATTTTGTCAGTGTGAGACATCTTAAATGTTCTATTCCGAGTTTTCCTGATTACAACATCCTGCTTCCCAATCTGTGTGCAGCCGAACACGAACAGGAGATTTTATGTCATGTAAAGCAGCTTCCCTCACAACTACTATCATAAGTGAATATTTCTTTTGGGAAAAAATAGCTCTCATCAATCGAGCATGCTGCATAAAGCTTGTTGATTCAGTTCAAACATTTACTTATAGAGTCATACAATTAAATAGAATAATGATTTATTCTATTTAATTGTAGGTGCATTGCAGAAGCTGTCTTTCAGAATGGAAATCATCGCCAAGGAAAGGAGCTTAATAATCAATAAAGCAATAAGATTAAGGATTAAGATGAGCAGCACGGTAAACAGCTGAGGTTTTGTACCAATTTATTTAACTAGTTTATAATATATTTTTTTACTGGGCTAGTTACATATTTGCTGTAACTTGAAATCACTCAATATTTACCAAAGATACATCTAATATTTTTTTTATGCACAGGCATGAAAAACTGAGCTTTAATATAGGCCTTTAAAGAAAAAAAAACTCTCAAAGCTTTTATTTATTATAATTATTAAACATTTTTGGATTGAAACTCTAATAACATTGACCATTGCGATTAAATAATTAATGTCCAAATGACTTGCCCAATTTTAATGAAAATATTTTTCTTCTACTGCATCTTAAATAAATCCTTATTAGATCTTAAATTATATTCATGTATGTGTAGCAGACGTCTGGCAGACACAGAACAGACAAGTCAGTCTGAGGTTTAGAAAAACTATAATAAAAATTTCATGTTGAAACTATTAAAGTTATGAGCACATATATTAAATGACAAAACAATTAGCCTCTCCTTTCTAATATTCTAAAGATTTCACTTTTTTTCAAACACTTTTACACAAAAAATATGTTTAAGTAAATATGTAGAAATATAATTTGATTATAGCAGAGTATTGCCTGTAAACAGCAAGAATTGGATGCTTTTTTGCAATGATGATTTTTTTTCATGAAGCACCAGAGTAGTTTGGTGAAAAAATCTCTCCAGCTTTACACCAAGTTGGTGTATAAACGTGTTTCTTGTGTGTAAAAATAGAGAGCGGTCTTGTATCCAAGGTAATTTCATTTTATTTTGAAGGTGTTGCTATATTCCATTTGCAGGGTTTAAACTGACAGCTTACATGAGGAGGGTTCATCACTGAGACTGGTTCGCCCCCTGCTGGATCGCACTTGTAAAGTCACTAATTTCAGGAATCAGTATTTTCTTACATACCATACAAATTTCACTCATTCCCTTTGAGCATCTCCACATTATTTTTCCAAATAACAGCGACCAATAATACTGTGTTTTATTTTGAGTTTTGAGATAGATTAACATAAAGTAATAAAAAGTGATGAAGTGGAAAAATGTAACACAAGATTTAAGAAATATTTGATGGATAACAGCTATTAAAGTGTAGTGTGCGTTTTCATGTAGTCCCCCTTTATTCCAATACCCCTTAATAAAATGATATATGGAATCGATTTATTTTGCATTTTCCTTTTCACACAAACACTTTTTCACATTAACTATATGCATTAATCCAGAGCTGAAAACTAGAAAGAAACTAAAATTTAAACCTAGAGAAACAGGTTAGATAAATCTTGATCAAATAAATTAGGTTAAGAAATGAAACTAGATTATTTATTTATCAGCAACTGCCATTTTTATTACTGATATAATTATTGTTAGAGGAAGTACAGTTGTAATCAGCAGTATTATAGTAACAGTTTTATGTATCAGGTTATCTTCAAGATATTTAAAGATAAAAAAACAATACTATTATGTAAAATAAAGTAATAGAAATAGCATAGTGGTGGTTTATAATGCAACATACAAGTTATATTGGTGCACTTGGTGCAGTGATAGTTTGATTGTGATTGCTTACATATCCAGGCCAGCAGGGGGCATTAGACAGACAAGCGGACACCTTATTGATGACATCCTTAAAGTGGACGAATAAAGACGTTTTCTTGCCTGCTTTCGAAAGAGGAAACAGGGCACCGAGCCGAGGCTCCGTGGTGCTGAAAGGACAGCTCCCCGGCTTTTTGACAGCTGCAGGTACAGTAGGCTCTACTGTTCCCATCGAGATAGATTAGAGAAAATAAAGATATTGTCGGTTACCACTGAAAACAATGCAGATCTTTCTAGGGTACCATAGAAATATTAATGAGGAGAAAATGTCTAAATTGTCTATCAGACAGAGCTTCCATTCACATTGTTTACTAATGATAGATTTAGTTTTAAAGTTTACATCTTAGTCTGAAGCTTTTTCATCTCCAGAGCTTGTTCGTGCTGTAGGTTAGTAGACCTCTAGAACAAGGATGAGATATTCTTAGTATTCTCAGTGGCACCTGGGAGTCCCTAGACCCTAATTTTCTCAGAAATGAGTTCCTTTCAACCACAGAGTTATGTTTCTTGACTCACATTTTGTAAAAACCAAACTGTGTCACACAGGCAGACATTGTGTGTATAATTCTCCCAATTTTCTATTCTTAATGACCTCAACAGAGTATGTCTTTTAAATTAAATAAAAATAATTGTCATCCACTATTACTATTTTTAAAATACCATATGTGTTGCTTGTTATATTAGAATACAACATTTAATTTTCTGCAATTTATGTCAATAGAATCTCAGAAAATATTTCTTGATATTTAAATTCAGCCACCTGGTGAAACCATCTTTCATTGCAATTGGATCTACAAGTCTTTCCTTGTTTTTGAACAGCAACCTTTCTCATATGGAAGGATTTGCTGTGTGACTGTTTCCATCCTAGTGTCAAGTCCTTTAAAGCTAATGACAGTCCTCCTTTAGGATCCCCCTGTTTTAGCTCCATCAATTTATAATTTTTCTTCATGGTAATGGCTGTGTTTACAGGGCAATGTGCAGTGATATATTTCCATTTTACTTGCAAGCCAACACATTTCTGTTTAGTCTAATCCTCCTAGAGCAGTCTCTGCTACATATATTCTCTGCTCCTCCCTTTGGTTAGGACAAAATGTTTTGACTTTCCACTTTACATCCTTCTGTAAGGTACAACTAAAAACAGCCTTGCTTCTATTTTGCCTCCCTTATTAAAACATTCCCTGCTTTCCCTGTGCCTCACCTGGGCAGTGAGGTAACAGATATTTTCTTTTAGTTCACAATCCTTCTCTGTTTTGTGATCTACTAGATTCTGCTGGGCATTAGTAGATCTGCAGTTGTCATACTTTCCCCTTTCTTTTAACATTTTTTTGTGAGATTTTCCATACGTGGGAAATTATTTATTACATTTACACTGTTTTAAACTAGTCATTTGATTATATTTAGAGTATCAGGATTAGAAATTAATCAGACAACAAAGATAAGCATATATCACTTTTGATGTTTGTTTTTAACAGGTATTTTAGTTTACAATCATTCACTATGCTGTGCTCTACTAGATGCTGCTTCTGATTTATTCTGCTAAATTTCTGCTTTGCTCTCTTACAGATATGTTCACCCGAATGTTAAAGCTGAGACTGCTTAATGCTGTAGCACCTGCGTACTTCTTTGTGGCCACTGCAGTTACGTTTATACTACATTTCTTCCTCTTCATCCCATCTATCTTCCCCAATCCGGACACATCGCTGAGGAGCTCGACAACCCTTCACACAGCTGTTTTTCTCTTCCTGATGTTTAATGCATTGGGGAATTACATAATGACTATCAAATATCCGGCTGAGAGTGCCAATGACACAGCGATTCCGGTGTGTTCACCCCACTGCTCGGACAAAGTGGATGCCCACTACCTCCTTAACGGACGCCACTTCTGCAAACTGTGCAAGAAGGTTATTTTCAGGAGAGATCATCACTGTTTTTTCACTGGAAACTGCATCGGCAACAAGAACATGCGCTACTTTATCATGTTCTGCATCTACACTTCATGCACATGCATGTACTCTTTGGTTCTTGGTGTGGCCTTCCTGACAGTCGAGTACTCCATCTCCTTTGAGAACCCACTGACCTTCCTGACCCTTCTCCCTCTCTCCACTGGTTACTTCTTCATGGGTGAGATTATAGTTATATTTGTTGAGTAAAGCAAATCTTCGCTGGGTTCGCATCTCAATTCTTGTTATCCTCCTTCTCATAGGCACAATCTCAGGCCTGCAGCTATTCTTGGTGCTGATGCTGTATGTGTGGCTGGGCATCGGCTTGGTGTGTGCAGGTTTCTGCTGTCAGCAGGTGCTACTGGTGGCCCGGGGGCAGACCTGGTGTCAGATGCAAAGAGGGGAGCTGGTGGAGAATCGCAGCCCTTGGAGAGCAAACCTCAAGAATGTTTTTGGTGCCCGCTGGATCCTTGGCCTTATTCTGCCTGTGCAAACAGTGGATACATACTCTGAAGATACAGATGACCTCAAGCAAGACTGACGGACAACTATTCGTCACAAAAAGTTTAATTTTGGTCAAAAAAGGGGCTCAACTTGTAGAATGTTGGTGGAAACTGTTTTCTAATCTGTATGGATGCTTGTAGTAAGATAGCTGTTAGCCTCATGCCCTTAAAGCCAGGAGCCATGCTAACAATGTGAGACAAGTGCTAAGCATACATGTTTATCTTTAAAGAGGCATTTCTTAATGCAATATTAGATAAATAAAAAAATAAGTGATAAGTAAATAATTTTTACAGCACCCTACCCTACATGCATATCTGTTTACCTTCACTGCAAAAACGATCTAGAAATGAGTCAACATTTCTTGAATTAAAGGTATTCCCCCCTTAATTTGAGCAAGAAAATAAGACGATTTTCCAATTGAATGAGTATTTTTACTCTTAAAATAAGATAAATAGATAAAATGCTCTTAAAATAATACAATGCAATTGTTTTATCTTATTTTAAATGAAAATTGTCTTGTTCCATTTGGAAAGTGTGTCATTACCTCCTCTACTCAAGAAAGATTTGACTTATTTTAAGAAACAATGACTTTGGATTTCATTGTTTTGCAGAGTTTTGAAAATGTGTAAAGAAACCTTGCAGTAAATTCAGCTTATATTTTAGCAATGGCCTCTTATGCTGAAGGTTTTAGAAATATGCAACAACTCATGATAACCATTCCTCTTTGGACAATCTCGCTAGATCCTCCAGTCCTGAGTTCCTTCCTTTGCCGCTCTCCTCATCTCATCCCACACCGCTTTCAGATGATTAAGAGGCTTTCTGGTCGAGTCCGCCAGAAATACCTTTTTACTGTAGATGCCTTCATTATGATTCCTTTATATACTGTATTATGTTTTATGTTTGATAGAAAAAAAACAAACTCAGTCTTTATCCAAAGCATAGGGTTTTTTTTCTGTCTCTTTGATGTTTAGCAAAGCTAAGACAAAAACACTAAAATCCACAAACTGATTTCACATTTGTGTAATATATCTATATCTATAGATATATCATTAAAAGATTTATTTAGTTACATTTTCAATGCAACAGACTAAATTCTTTTTACACATCTCTCAGGCGTTTCCATAAACTCAGTTTTATGTTACACTGAACAGCTTTCAAACTAACATGACTGATGCGATTTCAGTTGAAACTTTCTAAATAGAAAATGTTGGAGGGGTTGGGATTTAAAATATCCAGGATTTATGGACAACAAGCCATCCTTACTTGTGAAAAATACATCTGCTACTAGATGCCTAACTTTTTTTATTTTACATTTTTTTCTGCAACTAAAGTAGTTGACCTACATTCACTTTGGTTTTTCAAGCGTACTTTTTGAATTTAATGATGCCTATTTGTGTATTGCAATAAAGTTTTAATGGATTTAAAAACCACACCATGCAGTTATTCTTTTTCATCTTTAATGACACATCATTTGCTAGAAAAGTAATAAGAGAAATGTCTCTAACAGTTTGATAAAGACGAGATACACAACGCAAAAACTCACAAAAAACACACCAGAAAATCCCACCTCTTACTTCCCTGTGAATTATTACTACCAAAAACTTATTAATAAAATTTCAAGAAAATTACAACCATTATCTTTACAATTTAAGCAATTGAGGACATCTTCATAGAACAACCCAAAGACAAACAAAACCATAGATCCTTTGACTCCCCTGACTGCATACAACTTCCCTCCACATAAGAGAAGTGTACACATCAAAGATAATTGCACAAAAATATAAAGCATAAACATGAACACATTTAAAAGGCACAGGCATTAAAATAAACACATATATTCACATTATTTCTTCAATACACAATGCTCAAAAACCTTGGAGGAAAGTGCAAGTCTAAAAGAAGAGCTATAGCTGTCATATTTTGTAAAAAAAACAAAAAAATATCAAGACTTATAAAGCATGAAATTACAGAAAGCAGAAAGATGGCAACAGCAGATCCAGAAGCTAAACAATAGTATGGCTACAACAGTGGTGTTGCTACATTTCTGTTCAAATATCTTAGCAAATATAAAATAAGAACAGAAGATTGACGAGCAAATTTCACCATTAAACTGGCAAATTTATCCAGGTCACAACCTAAGATTCGTCACACCTCTAACATAATTCTTGGTCACACAGAAGGAATAAATAATACTGACACCTAAATAACATCTTTAAAATTGAGAAAAACTTATTTCAACCGTGAAATATATGTTTCTCTAGATACATACATTTTTAATATTTAAAGTATAATTGATAGTAGAAAGAATAATCAGATGAACTTGTCCGATAAATAAAAGAAAACATCTGATAAACCGTCTATGCATCAGCAAAAATAAATTCTTTCATAGGATAAAATATATTTTATGTCTATAAGACTAAATGTTTTTGTTAGTAACAAAGGTGCCTTAGTTTACAATTTTATTGAAACTTGAACTCTGGCTTTAAATCATTTGAGAAAAATGTTCAATACATCACAGACAACCAGTGTGTGCTCTTCAGACGCTCCAGTAGAGCTAAATCTGAAAATAAACAATGTCAACGTAAGTTTCCAAATGCAGAAGACCAATATCATCTAACTGAACTCAGCTCATGACACTTGTTGTTAGAGCTAAATGTGTAAATTGCAAAATTCCATTTAATATATAAATTTAATATAAATAGGTTAATGTACGCCAGTGCTATTCTCCAATAACATGCACATAGCACACATTTTTTTTTTCTGGGGAATTAAGGCCTCTTCCCCTTCATGCAATTTGCATTCCTCCATTACATATACAGGTGATTCCTAGAGCCCTGGAATACTGGGATCAGGATTTTCACAAGGTCCAGGCCTGAAAGGGTTTAATTAAACTACAGCTGCTAAGCCTCAGAAGTTTGCAGTTTCTTTTCAAGCTGTCTAGTGTTCAAATGGCATGGCAGCATTTCACAATTAGAGGTTTTATTATAGAGTTTTAACTGAAATAAATCTGGGGAAATTTAGATTTTCGTGGTATAGTTTTGAATGTATATCTATCAACAACAAATCAAATGTTTATACTAATTTCATTTTTGGTTATGACTAGTAGAAAATTTCACCACTTTTTCCCTCAAATTAACATTCAAAGATTTTAATTTGGAATATTACAACCCCCAGCATTTAAACTCTCATGTAAAGTTTCTAGAAATGTTCAACCTCTTGTAAACCTGAGTTGTGCAATTTTAGCAGGCAGAGAAGTTTTGCATGCCTATCTTTACTTTTTTTTTTTTTTAAACAGTTTATTTTCATGTGCACAGCTTGATATATATATATGTATCCCATGCAGATTTAAGCCCACCAATGATATGAGCCACATTGAACTTCAGCACACTGCTGCGAAGGCCATAATTCTCAGCAGGAGCAGGACTTTAGTTAAATGCAAACTGTTGAGTCAGAACTATTCCTGTAAAGCTGAGTCTGTCTAGTGCACACGTTGTTTTTTAAATAAAACAACTGGTACAGTCAGGAATAACAGATAGTTATGTACCTTAAGTCCTTTCAGAGCAACTTATATTGACACAATCAAAAAAATTATGGTACCCATGTAATACTGAATAAATGTAACATTTTAGTTAACAGCACTTAGGGCAACTGGGTTTTCAGGCATCTACATGGCTTCTCATTTAGTTATCCAATCTGGACCAATTAAGGTCTACTTTTAAATAACTATTATTATAAGAGAATTATTATATTATTAGAGAAAAAGAGTAAACTACCCTGATCCTTCTTTCTGAATGCCATTACATGGACCTAGGCACAATCCTGAAAACCAACATCAAACACATCTGTTTGTTACTGCAACCCCCAATGAAGTAGATCACTTAACAGAACTGTTTTAGACCAGATGAGGTGAAAGGAAGGGATCTGACCTAGATAAGCCTGAATCTCAGTTCGCTTGTCTCAGTACTCAAGCCTGTTGCTAATAAAACATAAAAGATCAATCATCTTTAGGCAGTTTTATTATTTTAAATATATGCTATTTATAGTTTAATGTGTCCCACTTCCTTCAGTTCTTTAGTGTAATTTAACTGTTGCTTGAGAGTGCGAGCTACAGAAATCAAGCATCTCTTCATGTAGTTACCAAAACATTCAAAGAATATTTTGGACACAGAAAACACGTTAACCTGTTTGTTAAAAATGCATGACAGACATCATGCATCCATCTGGCTTGTTATTGGCTGTAAGGCGTGCGTTACTTCGGTTTGACACTGATGCGCCAGAGAGTCCTGCTCCAAGAAACACTTTCACCCATTGCGCAACATCAGAGGCAGATATTTTGTAAAAGGCAAAGATTTGAAATGAAGGCATGCTTTAAAACTCTAATTCAGTATAGATGCTGTGTTTAAGATTCAAGCCCAACCAGCAGTGATAAATGTTTTTTAAATTCCTGAATTCTACATTTAAAAGCGTTAACAGTGCTTTACACAGGTATTTATGTCCCTTTAACCTCCACACATTTTGTCACGTTAAAATAATATCACTGTGGCCCAGTGGGGAGAGCAGCTGTCTTAGAATGTGAAAGTTGTCTTGTCTATTCCAACTCTCCCCCATCAAATGTTATTGTGCCCCTGAGCAAGGCACATGCTTCTAAAAAGCATCTTTTTCATAATGCTTTGACTTTGCAGATGTCTATGGTGAGAAATGTCATTAGAAAAAACTAATTGTTTGTTTTGTGAAGTGTTTGTAACATGACAAAATGTAAAAAGGTTTAAAGGTGTCTGTAAACCTTTGAAAGGCACCGTACACCCCCACCATCTGATAAAGCAGTGAGAGGCTAGCTGTGTTTTTCATAACGATGTGACACATTCAGCAGCTGACCTCATTAATAATCCTTCTGAAACCAGATTTAAAACTGCTGGTTACATCAATCAAACATGTTACGCTAGGACACGCTGAGCTTTAACCTGGAAATGCTCTGTTTCCGTGTCCTGCAGAGAGAGCTGTAGCTTGGTCCACAGCTGTGGATCCCCACTACTCAGAGCTTCAAGCAGCAAAGCTGTTTGCTCCTGCAGAAGGTGGAGCTGACCCTGGGTGCGCTTGTTTTCCTTGATCAGTTGCTTGGTGCGCAGCGTAATCCCTAGCAGGCCAGACTTGCTGAGAATGTTGTAGGTATTGCTGAAACGCTTTAACTTGTTACTGTGGATGGAGATGGGATCCTGATATTTCTCTGTAAGCAGGCTGCTGCTGCTGTTGTCGTCGGGTACAGTCCTCAGCTCCTCATATGTGTAGTTCATTAACGAGCTGGTTTCATCTGAGGCCAGAGATTTGTTGGAATCTTGTTCCTGACTCTCAATAACCTGAGCTTCGCTGGTTGCTGCTTCGAAACTTGAGACAGCTTGGGCTGAAATGTGCACAGCTGACAGTGGGCTGGGGGACACGTCAAGCCTCTGGGGGTCATGGGGTCTCCTCTGATGCTGCTCATATCCCATTCTTCCATTTGCAATCGATGATCCCACTTTCTTGGAGGATGTATCCACCGGGTAGGGGGCAATTCTGGGGTATGACTTGAGGATAGGTGTGTAGCTTTTAGATTGCCGCGTATTGTCAGAGCCAGCTTTGGGTGAGCAGTTAGAGCCATTTGATACCACTGGCTGAAGAAGAACCACTTGGGATTGGGGCATCACCTCCACTGATGAAGGAAAGCCCCACTGCTTTTCTGGAGGAGCCAAGGAAGATGGCTAGAGAAAAAAATAAGCTAATAAATAACTTCATAATACCATTTAACTATGTAATTATTATTCAAACAGTGAGGTACAAATCAACAATGCTTAGAAATGACAACAGTTTTTTTTTTCTTTCTTTTTTTAATAAACACCAAACCTAAAGGTTAACAGTTCACTAAAACAAAGTTCTTTGGTGATGGAGTTTTCACTGAGGGAGAAAAGCCAAACAGGTGGTGATTTGACCTGCTGATTGTCCACTGATTGTATAATAAAATGTAGGAGGAAAAAGTGAAAAAATAGTTAACCTACAAAGTGTAAAAACACACAACGTACAAAACAGTTGACACTTTTGACTATTAATGAATTCAGGACAGACTATTATGTCTATTGTAGAGTTGGGCGATGCTTCACATTATGCTTGTGGGAGACCACGAAATTGTTTCTTAATGTGAAATTATTTTTCTGCAGTGTGAATCTAGGCTGATGAAATAAGCCTATTTATAGTTACCAGCTCAGGGGTAACAGGAGCAGCAGACTGCATTGACACCTGCTTATGTTGTTCAGCCTTGAAGCAGCCTCCTAATGTATGAGATGAATTTGGATTCTTACTTTCCTATGGCTCTCTGCTGGATGGATCTCACTGAAATCAAACCGTTGTTCATTTACAAATCAGGGGGTGGAACATGGATGAGTTGGACCTAATCGACTCAGAGCGGTTTTTAGATTTAGAAATCCCCTTTGTCAGTTTTGACTAAAAAAAAAAAACTGATTATTTTTAACTAAAATACAATTCTGACAGAAATGTGTGGATGCCTGTGGTACTCCTAATTTATTTAATGAAAGGCCAAACAGCAGTGAGCCCCAAAAAACATACAATTTTAATTGGTAGTAATTATATATCATAAACAGAGAGTGGTTTCAGCAGAGAATAGGCGCTACTGAAATTAAGGAAAAAAAGAAAAAACATAAACGGGGCCAAAACACTTTTCATGCTGCATCTCTCTCTTTTTTTTTTCCCAAATTGTTTTGCCTTTTTGCAAAAACCAGCAGATGTTGGGAAACATGAAGATGGGTGAAATTTTTGTGCAAAAGCCAGAATTATATAACGCCTGAAAAACATTACTAGTTTAAAAAATATTGTTCTGAATTTCAAATGTAATAAATTAAACTGCCAGTCTAAGATGCTGTATTAAACATGAGTTATTAGCAGTGCATTGCACAGTCACAGATCTGGCATATAATCCAGTTTACCTGCTTCAGGACAAAGTTGTTCATGATGATCATCGGGGAAAGCCCGGAGTATGATCCACCCATCACAGCCACCTGCTGACCACCTGGTTCATGACCGACTACTGACCCATTCCTCCCAGCATCTTCTGAGTCTGTGACCTCCACTGTGCTGAGGTACTCAGAGCTGGCATCTGAAAATGAGAAGGCCGACATATGGGTCTTATCGTGCTGAAAGGAGGCAGGTTTGTGTTTTGTGCGGAAAGGCAGAACATTAGAACTATAAACACTGGCAGATGCAGATAAAGATCTCTCAACCCTGTAGAGGACAGCATCAACCTAATGAAGGGGATTGAAACAAATTCAGGTCAGCCTTGGTGATATAAGTAAAGGCCATCCTCTTTAGGGCTCAGTGCACCCATATAATGCTACCCAGATCTCCATTTTTGATTAGGTTTGACAACGTTCTTTAAAAAAAGTATCATTTTCAGCCGTTGATTCAAACATGTAGGTTATTAAAATCCAAAAATGTTGTTAATAACATAGCTATTCCCCTTTGATGCTTTTATTTTTAGTGATGATTTGAGTATCCATCCTCAAAACAGCATCGTTTCAATGTTCAACATTTTCATTCTTGTGTTAAAAAACAAAACAAAAAAGCTTTTAACTTAAAAACTCACAGGATCTCAATTTTGGTCAGATTACATTTAAAAACAACACTCCAGCACTTTATGTGGAGATGATAATGTTCATGCAACTTTAAACTGTTTAAATCCAAAGGATTTTATATTTTTGACTAAAGTCTTCTAGGCACTTCAATATGGGAAAAAAAAGCAACATGTTAAAATCTTGTAAAAGTAGACTTAACAAACCTGAGAATCCTGAATCTCTCTCAAGGTCTTGTTTTGACATTCTCAACAGCGGTGTCCTTGTGAAGGGCGGCCCTCTTTGTGAGCCTGGTCTGCTGAAACTGCTCATTCTGATATATGCTGGGAAACAAAAAAACAAAACAAGTTTAAACTGATCTGTTTGCACAGAAACACTTCTATGAGCTATCTCTTAAGCTTAGGATTTCCTAGGACACAGACACAACTCAAGGGCAATAATATAAAATAAATAGCATTTGATCTATTTGAGCAAGCACGATGCAACTATTGGTTTAATTCCATACATTTATTCCAAGAAAGGTTAATAATTTAATCATTATACACTTCAATTACAAGTTATAGAGTACATAGGGTACCTCAGACATACCGGTAAGCTTGTTTTTTTTTTTTTTTTAAGAGCAGTTAATCAACAAGAATTATCATTATTTGACCCTTCAAATTATTACTTTATGGCCTTTTTGTGCTAGTGTACTCTAACATTATTTAGGAGGTTATAAAATCTGAGTGGGTAACATCCACAGCAGGTCTTCTATGGATTAATCATCTTTGCCTATTTCACATACTTTTTCTGCAGGCAGCCAGGAATAATTAAAATGACTCACTTCAAAATAGATGCTAAAAAATAACACAGCTAGGCCAAGCAGATTATTTCAGGTCAATCGGTTAAAACATTTCAAAATCTTACTCCCTGTTTTGTCTTCTCTCACACACATCACAATATTTGATCTTTTTTTTATTTTTTTTTATTATATTCTATTTACCAATCAATCTTTTTACTGTATGCGTTTATTTTTGTAGCCTAAATACACGTTACAATAGTCATCGAATGCATATTTAAGCCCTTTTTACATGTTTTGTGCAGTTTGCACACCTTTTTTTTCCCAGGTAAACCCTCTTCATAACCCTAGCTTTGGTGTAATGTTACAAAGTTGGTCAAATTACAGAATTCGACTTTTGGATCGATGGCCTGCCATCCTCCGACGGCCTGAGTTTTTAAAATAATATATCTCATCATGAAGAAAAAGACACACTTCCTCGTTGAAGCATCAAAAAAGTAAAAATGTATTAAATGAATATTGTATCTAGCTGCTGAAAGTAAAATATTTTATCAACCGCAACTTTCTTAAAAATAGTCAGCTTTATCTTACAAAGACACCCCGACTTCAACAGAAGCAAAACGAAAACATCAACTGCTGCTAGTCTCTACCGAACACGGACTGCACGTCTCACTGTTTACTATCTGCTTTCGATCTCTGTTAGCACAAATAGCTAGGTAATGCTGATGAGTGCCACTTTTGGTTAGCTAAAACGTATTTAGAAACAAACCATTAACTATGTGACTAGAAGTATTTAAGAAAAACCTACCAAAATTTGGTTTTCTTCCAAACTGACATCCGATAGTAGTGTCATCAGTCGACGGGCTGCTGAAAATGCTCGACAGTGTCGAAGCTAACCGTCACGCCTTGTTACCCGTATTAATTCTAACCCTCCATAAGTCTTACAGGTTAACACACCAAATGTAACCTTTAAATTTTTAAGGAACTTTTATTGTTAAATATCTACTATATAAAATTAGATTTGTAAGCGTTATTACATCCCAACGGGTTTTAAATAAGGAACGAATGATAATTTATGCCTGCAAGACTTTGAAGTGGGCTAAACAGCCCGTTAAAAGGTAGCAGGTTTCTACTGTTGTCCTAGCAACAGCTAGACACAGCGGAAGTTGTTTTCTAGAAGGACGGCGGACGTCATAGCCGCAAACGCGCCCTCTATTGACTCATATGTCAGTCTACATTGTCCATAATATGATATAATATAATATAATATAATATAATATAATATAATATAATATAATATAATATAATATAATAAATATAATATAATATATTATAATATATTATTATAGAATATATATTTATATATCTATGTATATGTAACCTTGTGCATTCCTTATATAGCATTACATTTTAAAATTATTATATTATATTATCCATCCATCCATCATCTGACATGCTTTATCCCAAGCGGGGTCACGAGGGGTGCTGGTGCCTATCTCCAGCTATCTACAGGCGAGAGGCGTGGCACACCCTGGACAGGCCAGTGGGAGTACCCGGAGGGAACTCACTGATGCTCAGGGAGAACATGCAATCTCCATGTAGAAAGACCCCGGGCCGGGAATCAAACCCGGAACCTTCTTGCTGTAAGGCAGCAGTGCTAGCAGCCCCATATTATGTCATATTATATTATATAGTATAATATATTCCTATATATATTATATAGGAATGGGCAAGGCTGCAAGTTGCCAAAAATTGCTCACCAGGCTAGGGTTTGTGCAAGTCCGCAGGACAAATTCTATTTACAAACTTGTAAAAGTATAAAAGTCTTAAACAATCGAATGCAGGTTAACTCTCTAACATTTATTGCTTGCTAATCCTTGCTAATGCCAGTAAAAAAACAACACCCCCCCAAAAGAAAGTTATCTGACAGTCATAGTACTTTTATTATAAAATAAATATTTAAATGAAATAAAAATAATAGCATAGGTAAAAGGTTTCTACATCATACATTTTCTTCTTTCGGTGTATGAGGAAAAGATATTACATAACTAACTCAACTGACCATTCCAATACCACTCTGTTTCTATAAACAGACTCAGGAAATCACCTGTGGAGCGAGATTGACAGGGTGTTATGTTACCAAAGGGGACATGTATAAAGCAAAGCACTTTTGTGTTTGTCTTTTTTTTTAAATGTTGTGAAAATGGTTGTAAATATGTTTAAAATGCATTACAAATACTCAACAATGGATGAGATACGAATAAAAAAAAAAATTAAAAAAAGATTTTCTTTTGATAGTTTTCTACTTTACCTGTCGTTACCCAGAATTTGGGTCATTGAATATGACCCAATTTCTTTATTTGATCACATGGGATGGATTTGCTTTTCCAGTGTTACTTTTAACATGCTTGTTCCTTTAATATTTAGAGCAAATGTGCCTAGTCATGTAAAGAGTACAGACTTTTTCTTGTGAAACACACAATGGTATGATTGGGTTAATGCATTCTGAAGTAGAATAGGAAAATGTGATGATAAGGCACATTTAAATAACTGCCAACTTTATCAACCAGCTCTTCAAATAAAATATTTTCCTATTGAACATTTTTATGCCCTATTTTTAAACACTAGAGGGAGGCATATCATTGTTGCATGTACAGTGCATATGTACATTTAGTCAAAAAACAAAAACCTTTACAAGTCTTTACAATGATAATCAGAAAAACATAAACTTTTTGAAGGTTGTTGGTCTAACGACTTTAACAATAAATATAGAGATTTAAGTGTAACCGCCTTTAAATACAAGAATAACCGACAAAGTAACTAACACAATAATATCAGGTGGAAGATCAAAACATGAGTCTTTCGTTTTCTACATTGCACTGGCTCCCAGGGATGTCCATTGTGTCAGGTATGTAACAGAGTGTTTCCACCAATCAAATCGCACGTCCTGTTGAACTTCGTCATTGCAGACACCCTGTTCGTTATCGACAGCATGTCAGCAAACCAACCCAGCTGTTGGAGTCTCTGGCAGCAGACACAGTGTTTGATAGATCATTGGAGGAGACTCTTCATGCTGTCACCGGGCTCGATGAATAGACAGCCACGCTGCAACAGGAGGTTGGGTTGCCGCTGAAGTTACCTGCGGGGAATCTGGCACCTGGAGAATGAATAGAGTTGCTGTTTTATCGACATCACCTTAATAGCCTGTTGGTACGTTAACTTTTGTCTTAATAAAAGTGTGCCATTACCTGTCACAGTCTTTTGTTTTTTGTCTCTCCTTTCTCTTCCTTCCTCTTCCTCTTTGCCTTTTCCTAAACAAGGATAAGATAATTGTAAAAAATCCCCACATCCTCTGAAAAAAATATAACTTTTAATCATTGATCTCCGAAAGGGGTTCTTACCTTCCAACTTTCACCAAAGGTTTCCGCTCTCTGAGAAGATTTATAGAAATTATATTACAAAACATTCCCTCCAAAATGTTAATTTTTAATGTATAGTTAAGCTTTATGTAATATGCATGTTTTAAAATAAATACAATACTGTTTAATAGCCCTGCTACCTTTATAGCATTCAATATTTTAGTTTTAGAATAACTTGTTGAGCAGTGTCCCCCTTTCCTCCATGTCCTGTGTGGAGTTTCTTTTACTGTTCAATATTCCTCTTTAGGGCATTTGTAGGAGGTTAAATTATGCTTATGAAAGTAATTCAGCTTATCTGAACTCGTGATATATTCATTCTCTGCGAAACAATATATAAACAAGTAAACGGATGATAAGGGTGCTGAATGTAATGCAGCAGAGGTCTTTGAGTTGAGATTAGGACCCAGGACAGCCGCGTCAGTGACTAAGAGCCTATATATCGCAGGCATGTCCAGAGTCGGTCCTCGAGGGCCACTGTTCTACAGCTACAGCTTTAGGAACAACGAAAGAAGCAGTAGTAAAATGCTAAAGCACCATTATCCTCATTGACACACATACAGTCAGACCTTAAAACTTGACAGGAAGCTGCCAGTTATCACATTAAGAAGCTAAATGTCTTTCGGAAATAGATTTAAAAGTCAGAACAGATAAAAATTCCGGTTTTTGGTCACCATGACAAGAGGTCGGGTTGGTTGAATAAAGGTGCTTTCAAAGCAAAGTACAGTATCATGCATGGTGGTAGCGTCACCTTGCTGAGGGCCTGTTCTCCTGCTAATAGGGACGAATATAGATGAGCAAGACTCGATTACCATCCTTTCAATTCAATCCTGAATGTCCTATATGTATCAAAGTTTGTCTGTTTTAATTTAATAATACTTTAACCATAAAGTATATATATACCTGGAGCGTGTAACCAAGATAGTCTTGCCCTCTTCTAAATCTGATTCTGATAACCTGCCAAGCTGAATTCATAGCGTTTTGCAATGAGGTTTAAATCTATACGTTATAAATCTTGGACGGCTTAAATGCAATCTGTGAAACCTTTCCAGCTGACTGAGTGAAGCAACACCCAATGCCTGCCTACCAAAGTTTGATTTTAGCAATCACAGTAACAAATTATGATGTCATCAGATGCTGTGAAACTTCAGCTTTTAACAAGCTTGCTGTTGCTGACAAACAGGTATGAAAGCAGCAACTATGCATACATCTTCCTGTGCTGCCATGTTTATTTTGATTCTGCTATGGGCTTGGTAAATCAAGCTCGTACTAAATGTCCCGCCTTAAACTGTAATACTGCAACATGATTGGCTGACCCGTTCCACGTCGGTCTCGAATGGTTAAAGCTGGAGAGGGAAAAGATGGATTCTTGTGTGTTTAATAAAAACACGAAAATGTAGCCTGTGGGGAAGGTTTCTTTAACCTGAGATTGTCATCACACCTGCTTGTTTTGAATACAATAGCAACATTTTACATAAGATTACACAAAAGTGCTACCAATGCTAAAAACACTAAATAAATAAGAAAATGACGAGTCAATGATATGATTTTTGCAATAATTGTGTTTTCATACTATCAGAATAATAAATGTTTTAAAGAGACTGTTAAAATAGTGCAGTCACATCTGCTTCTAATTTAAGTAATGACCTGATGTCAGCAAGGGTAAATAATATGCTGAATGCTTTTAATCATAGCTCTGAAGGAGAAATAAGTATCATTAAAAACCATAGATTAGAATTTGAGGAAAATTCTCTGAGAGGTCAATTCATTAAATAATGTCACACTAAACTAAATTAAGCAATTGTAGACTATAATAATAAAACATACCATAAAGAACAATGAATTTGCTGCATCAACTTATTCTTTAACAGCAATTAGAGGGTTTAACTACATACACATAAAATATAAGAAACCTTTTATTTTTATTTTTATATGTATGTGTTTTAGGTGAAAATTATGAAAAGTTTCTTGTTTTCTTACCTACATTCACATGTCTTATGCTCCACAAAGGTCATCTCAACATATTCTTCACCTGGTTCTGAAGGTCGGATTTTCAACAGCTGTTTAGCAAAGTCAGAAGACACAGTTATAATCACAGGACCTTTCAAAATAACTCATAGTGCCTACACTTTCAAAGATTATATATTTGTCTACAGACTTTAAGGGATTGAAAGAGAAGTTTGTTGAGAAACAATACATGGTTTTCAACATTTTAGCACAACAATCTGAAAAATAAAAATAAAAAATGCAAGCCCAACCATTCCTGTTTAGCCCTGGCTTTATGGTTATGACTATTGTCCCAGTGGAAGGTTACCCTCCATATTGGCTGCTAGTCTTGAAGCTCCTATTGGGGATTTTATTCCAATACCTCCCCATCTTTAGCACAGTATGATGTTGCTCTGTTTCAAGGTGTAGAAGTTGTGCTTAACATTATAGTGTGTTAGTTTTGCAGGTCAGCCGAAAGGTTCATCCTTGGTTCATTTAACCAGAGTGCATACATCTTGCTGTCTCCACAAAAGGACTTTCTGCTCAGCAGTATTTAACATACACATAGTCTGTAAGCCAAGCAACAAATGCTTTTGCTGCCTGAAAATTCTCCCACCTCGGCTGTTGATCATCTAAAGCTTATATCAAGCTTCTCTATGCACATCTAAATAAGGCTTTCCTGCCTGACCTGTCAGTTTAGGTGGAGAGACACGTATTAGTAGGTTCGCAGTCATGCAATACTCATAACATTTTCTGTATATGGATTCAAAACTGCTCTGAAAGATGTTTGGACCGTGGGACATATTTAAACAACTTCACACTTATATCCCTGACCTGTCTGCATTATTTAATCATGTTTTATGTATGTTTACTCACTGATGTTTAAACCTATGAGACCCTCACAGAACTGCTGCCTTTATGCTAAGATGATATTAAATTCAGACAGACTCTTTTTAAAAAGGAAATTAGTTGCAAAATGTTTCACTTAACAATATCAAGAAGTAAGTGAATGAATGCATATATTCACATGGTTCAGCTTCAAATTACAATTATGAGATTTTTTATTTGGAACAAAAAAACCTTGAAAACCATTTTTTAATCAAACTTTACAATTGTATGCTACTTTGTGCTGTCTACTTTGTGCAGATGCCATAAAATACATTGAATCTTTGTCAAATTGTATAAAAATTAAAGGGAAAGTTTTTATTTTATATATATATTTTTTTTGCTGTTCTCTTACCTGCATCGTGACATTTGAAGTTTCAGTGGGATGACACTCTAAGTTTTCATCACCGCAGCAGCCCGCACATCTAACCAACGGCACGCAGGAGGGGCTGTAAATGTGCTCCACCTCTGTCGGGTATTCCTGGACAACTTCCACCAGCTTCTCCATGGTCCGGCAGAAACTGCGACCCCACACCTCTTGAAACATCAACACTGTGAGGAAGAACAGAAAGATAAACCACTTTGAAAATAAATAAATATTTGTCCACTTATAGATGCACTTACAGTTCTTGATTTAAAGCAAATTCTCCAAATCTTTAATTAGAGGCAAAAATGACTACATGTACTGTAAATAACCAACACTACTAGTTTATATTTATTTGTTTGAACATTTATTTAAACAGGGTATTAATGACATGCTCATGTAATGCATACAGGGACCTAATACCAGATGTGATATACAGTGTATCCTGTTTCCTACTGCAGAAAAAAAAGTACAATGTGCACTACACTTTCCTGTGGGAGTACATGTGTGAAAGTGTCCTACTTGCTGTGAGGGGGAGAAAAGTACAGGGACCACTATAGCCAAACACAGAAGGAAGAGAAAACAAACACTGGGAACATGGCCATGAACAGAACCCTGCTGGAACTGGAGCTGGGCTGCCCCGCAGGCACCTCTGGGACTTTACTGACCCCCAGAGGTCACCGACTGGAGCCTGACACCACAACAGCTGTTTATAAAAGCAGACGGACTGGGAGGAGACGGTCGGGGAAGCATCCACGGTCAGCAGATGAGGCCATGAACTGTAATGTTGTAATACAACGCAATGGGACAGTTTGCTGGCCAGTTACTACTCCTTAACTTCTCTTTTACTTATATGAACTTGTTTCTGTTGCATGAATTCCAGATCCAAATCTTGGAGCTGTGCAAGTCTTTAACTTGCAGTTTATATTTCCTTTGGCTGCATTAATTTATAGAGATGTGAGGGAGGGAAAGGATATGAGGAAGGAAGGTCAGCAGTTGGGTAATCCCTTTCAGCTTAGGCATGCCCCGTTATCATCTAGATTCAAATCAAGCATAATGAATGATTGCCCAGATTCCTGAACTTTGTCATGCTTCATATCTAAATAATCCATAGCAAAGATAACCAATTTTAAAACAAGCTTCATTTGGTGACCTCTAACCTGTATTTGAAAAAAACAAAATATAGGTAAAATATTCCCTTTGTGGTTTTATTTCTATGTGGATGTTCTGTTATGGCACCTTCTGTAAACTGTATGCTGGTTCTGGTTAATTTCCAGTGTCAGATTATTTTAGATCTACAAAACAAAGCAAGGTGAGGTAGTCCTCGAGTTGCATTATTGACTTTATTTACCAAATAATGTAACAGGCCACCTTCAATTAACTTTTAAGAAGATAAGGGTGGTGGGTGGAGACGGGCAAACAGTAATTGAAACACAACCTCAGTAACAAATAATGCCATACTGATCACTAAAGACCATATATTTGTGACTTTAGGCTGTTTTATACCCACACTTTCAAAATACCACATGATCTGGAAGTTACTGTATGTCTGTGTACTGGTCATGTTTTAGTTTGCCTAGATGTAGTTTAAGAACTGAAAAAGGGTACATCATGGAAAGAAGCAACAGTCCTACCGGTAGTTATCTCTTGATTATTCTTTGAAAAATATTTAGCTTCAAAGAGGAGTAAATTAATAAGTAACTGGTGCATGTTAATGGTTTGAACCAATCTGACAGGAACAGGCCCAAAAGGAAAGCTGAAAGCAACAAAATGTTAGTGTGTATGTCGGAGAGCAAACTGTACAAGAGGCAAACTGAGCTAAACTTGACAAAACAAAAAAGCAAAAAATAAGATAAATATGCTTTTCTTTGTAGCTAGAGTTTTTTGCTATGAAATCCATAATATTTGCCAGCACAATTACTAATTTAGAAACAAAAATAAAGAATTACTTACCTCCAGTGGTGCTGTTTGTGTCTGGCATGGGCAAATTCTGCAGAAGAGAAAAAAAAGCTTTATAAAAAAACAATGAAATAATAAAACATACGCATTTACAATGTGATAAAAATCAAGATTGGACAAGAATAAAAGCAAGTAAGTAGAACAGAGCAAGAAAATCTAATAAGACATTACTCAACATTTGAAACAACAATAAAAAATAGATAAAAATATGATTCTATTCAACAAAGTCTCAGAGTAAAATCTGTTTTAAGATATTAATACGGCTATTGCCACAGTTTCAGAGTTGCAGCAGAAAAGCTCCTACAGTTTTCTAAAATGCAATAATTTGCATTTTAAACCATCTGGTCTGCTAACCTGCAGGATAAGGACTGTATACGTTAGGGCAGCAGTTAAGCCTGGTGTAAAGGAGCCTAGCTTTTAAGATAATAGAAAAAAAAAAAAACTAATGAAAAAACTGTAAGCAGGAGAAGGGAAACCAAAATGGCGAAAAGGGTATCTTGTCACTACATTAGCAACAAAACAAGCAGCGGTAATATGTAACAGTAGTATGTCCTTAAAAATGGAAGACTTATTCCAAAGCACAGGTCAGCTCAACTGGAAAAATCTATTTCAATGATATTTTAATTCAATTCATCTATATAGCATACATTTACAACACATGCTATCTCAAGGAGCTTTACACAGATATTACAGTCAGACTGGTTCAAAGATTTCTATCAAAGGAAAACCAGCTGGCTGCATCGAGTCATTGACTCGATAGTGGTTAAAAATGTCTCCTCGCCTCAGGTGGCAGTGCCACAAGTTTCAGCAGAAACAAAGAAAAAAAGAGGAGGCTCTAAAGCAGAGCCCTGTGGTACCATCCTGGAGGAGGTCAGCAGTTGTTAATATAAAACCAATGATGCTGAAAAAACTTCTATTTGAAATTCAGGACTAAAACCATTTAAAATGTGGTTTACACTGCTGCATTGTAGGGATGAGCCACACCAAATCACTTTCATTAAAGATGGTCTACTTATCAATAGTGTTAACTAACACAGGGTGGGCATGCAAATACATTTTCAACAGGCTAAGTAATTTCGCTATCCAGTGGTGATAGCTGGTGCTACATAGATCTAAACTAGGTTGACAGTGGATCTTTCTTTCCAACCCAGAATTAGATCAATCTTTTTGACATGCAGCAGATCCTCGCTGACATGTTTCACAGTGTGCCCAAATGTTTAGGTTCAAAAACCTGCTTCCTGTGCTGTAAGATTCACTTCTCTATTTATTTACCATTGATGGCTTCCCCCCCTGTCTTGATTTCTTTCCCATAATCCCCCCGATAAACAGAGTGAATTTCTCATTCGCCTGGGAAAACACAAAACCTCTGCTTGACTCCATCTCAGGAAGGGAAATCTAGGTTTGATAAAACACCCTCCGGCAGAAATGCAAGACAGGCGGCAGACAACCTGCTTCCGCAATCCTTCGTAACAAGAACTGTATATGATTTTTTTTTCTCTCTCTCTGACAAAAGCTTGATTAATTTAAAAAGTCAGTGCAGACTAAAACATGACAAAGTATTATGCAATATTACGACAGTTGTTTTCGCACCATCTGTTCACTGCAAAAAAATGCATCCTCTTCCTGTTTTGAACCAAAGTTACCATGTAGATGAGGATGGTATCACAACACAACAGTCAAGACACTTTTTCCAAGCAGCATGAATTATGAGGAACGTCCTGAAGATGAATTCCAGCTCGTACAAACATTTGGGGGAAATATTTTAAACCTTTAGCAAGTTAAGTAGGAGATATATAAACATGTTTTCTATTGCATTTCCTCCGGTAGGCTTCCACAAAGTCACACAGGCTCTGTCATCTTAGAGTTCTGGGAACAGAAGAAGCTTCTCCCTCTTTTTCTCAGAGCAGCTCATCATCTGGCCGGCATGTACAGCTGTTCCTCTGACAGCAGGGTTGTTCTATAAAGTGGCGTCCACCGAACTGTGTCTGCTGCTGCACAAAAACACAGCAGGACAGGAGCTCTGCTCTCTGAATATATTTTAATGCTCAGCATGGGAACGTCACATTGCAGTTTAAACTATTGTTCAGTGTCACTTGCACCCACTCAAGCACTGATTATTTTCCATTCTCTATAGCAACGTCAGAATTAAACAAACCTTGCTCCACAATCACTGTCTTAAGATCCTTTCACTTTTCCTTTCTTTTTTTGTTTTATGGGTCTGCTAAATTACAAGAGCTACTTGGCTTTGACTCTTCAAGGAGTCTTGGGTTAAGCCTTATAAATATGAAACATAAATAAAACTCTGACCTGCAGTTTAAGAACAGATGAGAAGTTGCTGCCATAATATAAAACGTTGTCAGAGATGTCTCAGATAGCTATTCCTCCTCATGCACTTAGCAGTATTACCGTCATTTTGTTATTAGTGGGGGCTGGAGGTGGCTTGACCCTTGTGGAAAAAGAGAGGTTTTATATCAGTAAATTATAAATGAGCTTGACAGACAAATCCCCCAAGCTAGATCAATTTCTAACCGCTCCCCAGTGTCTTTTTTTCACCTAATTTTCCTGATAAAGTCTCATCAAGGGAGATTACCTTTTAGTTAATTAGCTGTAGCAGGGTCTTGTGTCATTTTCATGAATTGTTTTAATGGAAACATGACGCAGTGCCTAAAACTACAAGAGTATTCAAATTAGGCTGAACACTCTAATAGAAAGCTTTCTTATTCAACATTATCATCCTCATTGAAATACAAAGCTATTTACTTTTAACAGGAGACCTCTTCTGTTTGATTTCCACAGTATATCCACTTAGAGTGAGTATTGAAGTCACATAATTACTAAATCTAATCAATTTGTGCATAATTGAATCGTATTACAAACCAGGCTGTTCATTAAAGCCCTTGGAAGTTTATTGGAGAACAATAATGAAGTAGAAGATTCAATACATTTCTTCTTGATTAAGGGAAACCACTTTAAAGAACTCACACAGGAGACATGGAAGAAGATATTTTGGTTAAATTATATCAAAATTAAATGTTTTGACCAGCGTATAAAATGCAATGGTTATAAACTAGCTTGCTGATCATCCAGAACAAACCCAGTGAAAGCATCCTGCTGTGCAGAAGCTTAACTGGAGCAGGGATGATACAACCAGTCACACTTGATGGAAAATTGAAGCTCAACAAAGGAAAATAATGAAATAAAACTTAGAAGACAATGAAATATAAAAGGCTGCTGTTCTAGCAGGAGAACTATCTCATAAATATTGTCGGTTAGTATTTCTCTTTTGCAAGTTTGGTTTTGGGTTGTACAGCAATTCTGACTGTTTTACTCTTGTGTTGTTAGAGGGCTTGCTCAGTCCCTGAGCTCCTGCTATTATGCCGCAGAGGCCCCAGACATCATCGTTCTCTGGTACTGCACGGCTGAACTGCATCATCTTTAACCTCCTTGCTTATTCCATCTGTCAGAGAAAGGGAAGCGTGTAAAGGGAGCAAAACTTAACCATGACAGAGACTTTGCTTAATGGTTCCAGTTTAGAGGGTCAAGCGGGGGAGGTCAGTACAACAGCAGGTAAAATGGCAAATAGCTAAAAAAAAATGTGGATCCGAGAAAAAAAAAAAAAAAAAAAAAAAGCTATAATTTTTTGAAGAACAGAAAACAATGAAGGACATGGAACAATCACTTAACAACAAAATGCTTCTGTCATTTCAGCTATTACAAAACACTGACAGTAAGGATGTGGGATGTTTTGCATGATAACAAGTAAAAAAGACTGTTTGCTATGGAAGAGCTTACAGTATGTACTGTAAATCTGTCTCAGATTGTTTGTACATATTTTTTATCCAGGGTTCACATTTTGAATGTATTATATAATAAAATCTTTTTACAACGTTATTGACCATAAAGAAAACTAATCATAAAAAAATACTGAACATTGGCAATTTATTTTTTAAGAAAGCTAAAAGGCATTTTGAGCATCTTATCAACACAATGGAGTATTTTAAAAACATTAACTTGTGGTTAACAAAGTACGAAAATTTGATCAAAATGAAGCAAACAGCATTTTACAATTATCAAGCATCTATATTAAGACCCCATTCCCCATAAATCCTTCTGCTATCATTCAGTTTTTATGGTCAGCATGGTTAAATCTCTCCCATTTAACATGGCTAATAACATTTGGAGCTGTCAGCCAAGCTTTTAGGACTTTTACTGTGTAAAAAATGACAAGTCGAAGTGCCAAACGTTTAAATATCAGAACTTCTAACGACAGAACAAACCGTGCACGCAGCTGTGCATCTGGCATCATAACAACAGCAGGGGTCCCTACTCAAGCCTTATTTGATTGCTCTGACTGCCATTGCGTCCAAATAAATGGCTTCAGAGATGTGGACTCAACATGCAGAGCTGGCTGTGCAGTTTATGTTTTATCAGAGTTTAAAAGTAAAACATGGTTCACGTCAGCAGAGTTGTTTACTTTAATAATGAGAAAAGGCAGACTGGGGAAATCCCCTCCTCAGTTCTCAAGACTTGGACTAATAATGACTTGAGTAAATGGCAGCTCTTGCCAATTATATATAAATATCTTGTTTTCTTATAATGAGTACTCTGTTAGGGGGTGGAGGGGGTGGGGGGCTAATTCCCTTTGACTGGACATCAAAAAGATCACTACAATAAATGTTTGCTCTGGGTACAACAGATTGGTAGGTTGTTTGTCTGTTATTTTTTTCAGCTTTATTCAGCTGTCATTACACTGTCATAAGGACAGAGCAACGAAATGAACTCTCTGAATTTAACCCATCCCCTTGGGGAGCAGTGGGCTGCCATTGTACTGCACCCAGGGAGCAGTGTGGGGTGAACGGTCTTTGCTCAGGGACCCAGAGTGGCAATCTGTGGGAGTGGGGCTCTAACTCAGAACGTCTGGATTCCAAGCACAATGCCCTAACCACTAGACCGCCACTCCCTATTTCTTACCTACCATACTGGACAATAAACTGTCCACTATACCTTAATCAACAATGGTTCTATATAAAA